GGCCGCGGGATCGGGCCGGCCGGCGTGCCGCGCCTCCGGGGCGCCGCGGGGGGGGGGGGGGGGGGGGGGGGGGGGGGGGGGGGGGCCGGGCGGCGGTCAGCCGACAGACGCCGAGGAAGGCCCTCCGAGATATGTCGCTCTCGGAGGTTCGCGACCTCCGACTGGTCATTGGAAATGCACATGCCTTCCGAAAGGGCCACTCGCTCGCGCGCGCGCGCGCGCACACCCACACCCACCAAACACCAAGGCACGACGATTATTTGGATGCGGGCATTTGGCCACGGCAGTCTCCCACGTAGTTGTTGTTTCGGGCCCCGTCTCGCGCGATTGCTCGTCAGGACCACATGCATCTCCATCGGCATAGGACCTGAGAGGAGAGAAGTGCATTTGTCTCGGTGCCCCCCGTCCCTGGCTCGGGCCTATGGCGGCCTGGCCTGATCGACATCCCGCAAGAGGCGCATGCATCTGTGTCGCAATTTCGTCGCATTCCGCCTGAGCATACGTGGGGGTGTGGACGTCTCTCCGGCCGATGCTCGCCCCTGGCCAGTGAGCGCCGGTACTTATCCTCCCCGGTGGAAAGCCGACCAGCTCCCTATGTGGGGTTGGACATTTCGTCGGTCGGTGGTGTTGATAACCTGTGTCGGCCATTTGGCATATGCTGCTGCTTATGATGGTAGCCGCGAAAGAGCGAAGGGCGACCTTTCGGTCGGGGAGGGGAGGGACCATGCCCCGGTATCTCAGCAACATCACACGAGGCACCCAGTGATGCTGAAGTGGGATTTTCCTCGACGTTTGCCCCCCCGCAAGCTGTACACCTTTGGATCGGGAAGGGTAGCTGCCTCCCGGGAGCCTTCTGACTGCGCCTGCGAGTGACCATGGACCCGATGAGGCCCTTGATCCCCCTCGCTCCTCCCTTGCGCCTCTCCGAGAGGCAGTATTTTAATCCAAACGAACAGCGGGGGGGGGGAGAGAGAGAGAGACGAGGCAACACATGCACTTGGCGCTGACGTCTAAGAAGCTGACATCTCTGCTCCCCGAGCTAAGATGGGCCTGTTCCCTAGTTGTCGGCTGTGGACCGCTCGCCCGACAGGGCCTATCCACTGGGCCTTTCGCCTAGAGAGGCACACCAGGGCCCGGGATATCGGCTGAGGAATGTCTCGATACGCATCACTCTTCTGATCCTCTTGACCGAACAGTACCCAAACGGCACTGCCATCGCGCGGCCCTGGTCTCGGGCTCCGACTTACCTCCGGCCGGAGGATGGATTCGAAACGGAGATACTTGTGGGACATCCACGATCCACAGACCCAAATCACTCGGGCCTGCGCAGGGCTGACGCACCAACAGCGAGTGGAACATCTTTTCAGGGCACATGCACGGTGGCTGGCGATCACTGGATTCGGAACTCCCCGGCTGGCAGCCAGCCCTGGCTCCTTGGCTTTGGCGAAGAGGAGGCGATGCATCAGGGAAGAGAGTATGAGGGGGGGGGGGAATGATAGGCAAGGAGATGCGGGCCTAGCCAGGGATGTGTCCTCATTGGAACCCCCGACTCGAGGGGTGTCTCGACCGTGACACACCCGGCCAGGCATTGGTGGGCAGCCAGGACCGATGCCGCTTCCTGGCGAGGGGCCCCCGCGGTCCGTTGGGCTCGCAGCGGTCCCAGCCCGGCCCGACATCGAAGGGGCCGCGCAACTGCCCCCGGCCCCGCATCAGGGGGCGGACCTGCCTTGGCAAGTGGGACATACCAACGCATCGGAATCTGGTGTTTCATGCCGGTGGCACTACTCGGGCGTGGCCGAGGGGGCGCCAGACATGCCGCCCGGGTCTGGCTCCCGGTCCCCTGCCAGCAGGGGTCTGTCATCTCTAACGGACGCCAAGCCCAGGGGTCCGGCCGCCCGCCATGCCTCGGCCCCTCGATGGGCGGCGGCGCGGGTGCCGAGTGAGACCGGCGCGCCCCTTTCGGCGCCCTCTCCCGGGCAGAGGGGGCGTCTTCCTCGACCCCTTTCGAGGAGGTCAGCCCCGCTCTGTGGACTTTCCCTTCTCCCTCTCGCTCTCTCTCCCTCCGTCTCCCCCCCCTCTCTCTCTCTCTCCCTCTCTCGGCCTCTTGAATCCCGGAGATATTCCGGACCGTAGCCCTTTGGTGCTTCCTCCTCAGGCCGAGTCCTGTCCTCTCGCTGACCTGCGGCCGGTCAACCCGGCTATTGGTCCCAAGAAGGCCAATGTTCATGTTGTCGCGGTCCTTTCTCCTTCCGGATTGGCTTCTGCCGAGGACCTCACGGGTGGCCCTCCTTCTCGCCTGAAATGGACCCGCTTCCTGTGGTCTACCTTGCCCCGCATCTGTTCCGAAGCCCGTACATCCATCAGCCATCCACAATCCTGCCTCTCTTTTTATCTTGCTTTTTCTTTCGGCCCCTGGCGACATCCCCGGCGGTGCTGCAGTCTTCCTCGGCTGCCTCCATTTTTCGGGCCAAACGGACTGGAGGTCATTCTTCCCGGCTGAGTCCTTCTCTCTTCGACTGACACTCTGTGGGGATGCTCGTCGGCCCGATGCGCTCTCTTTGGACTTGGAGACGCCATTCCACGCGAGATATCGCCCCATCCGGCGGTACACCTTGGCTCCGGCCGGATGCCCATCTATCGAGCCGTGCGTGAAGAGCCGGATGGCGATGAATCTGCGCTTCCCGTACCCGAGACCTGGCAGGTGCATTTTACTCCGCACGAAGTGATCGCCCGTGGACGGGGCTGCGCATGGGCATCCCTGCGTGCCTACAACATGGCGGGAATGGATTGCATCCGGTGTTCGCAGCAGGGCAGTTCGGTTTCGCGTACAGCACATAGGGTCAAGATGCCGGTCATCCATTCACACCGGGCGGACCCTCGTTCGAGAGCAGGGGAGACTCCTCCATGTTCGAGTGCGATCAACCTGGTGATGGCGGCACTCCAGGGGCATTGGGTCCGCCCATTTGGCGCGGCTCGGCTGTTGCACGGCCTCCTGTCCTCGCTGCCTGGGCCGGACAGTGCCGCACGATCGACCGCGTCCGGCCACTCTCGAACAAAGGCCGACGTCTGCCGGGGACCGAGATGACGGCCACGGAGGGGGATTCCGATGATGTGCGCCGAGCACTTGGGGCGGCATGACGCTGGAGCCCGGCGGCGGAAGGTCCCTCAATTGTTTGGGCTCCCTTCGTGCAGCGTGAGCCACTGGTTCACATTCCCTTGTTGAATTGCGTGGGTCGATTGCTCCCCCCGCCCCTCCCCGGGCTGGCTGAGGCCATGGGAGCTTTGTCGGCGTGGGCCTGGCATTCATTGTCCAGGTGGAGCTGAATGGAAAGTGCCATTTGGGAATGACCCTGTGGAGGACCATCCCTTCGAGGCCGGCGAGGGCCATGGGCACGGGGATACCGTCATGGGGGATGTCCCTTCCCTTCCTCACGGCCTACTGGCTGTCCGTCGTCCAAGCAGCAAAGGCGCTGCCAGGGGCCTGCAGGCGACATGCCCTTGCTGGTGCCTTGTCGGGGCGGGGAGGAGCCTCGCCCTGGGAAGCGGTGTATGCGTCGTGCTGTCGAACACGCGGACATCAGCCCTTCTGGGGACCCCTGGCGGATAGCTTTTCCGCTCGTTGGGTCAGCACACTCATGAGTGCCATCACGGGGGAAGGGGGGCCGGGACCCCAACACCGGTGGGCCGGCGTGGAGACGGCACACTGGCGAGACCCGGTCACACCCAGGGCGGTGGGTGCCCGGCCGTGGGGTTGACAGACTGGCGTGCCGTGACGGCCCCAATCGAATGCGGGCGGGCCGAACGCCCACTTTGATGGGACTGCATGGCGGGCTATTGTCCGGAGCTCGGGCAGTCCCGAGTGTTGAAAGGCTGGAGTGGCCGGGGCCGTGGGCGAGGAGGGGCCACTTTCCACGGGGGCTGCCTTGGCGAGGGAGTGTGCGCCAGGAGCCGAGAGATCCCATCCCCATGAGCATAAATGGGATATGTCGGAGCAGCTCGTCCAAGAGTGGGAGATTAGTCTAGTGGTATGATTCTCGCTTCGGGTGCGAGAGGTCCCGAGTTCGATTCCCGGATCTCCCCGTTCTTTTTGGGTCTGGTACGATCATGGCTCCGTTCCGGGCTTTTTCCAATCCCTGCCTGGTGGCGGGTGGCGAATCAGGTCATTCCGCTTTTTTTTTTTTGGGAGCACACTCCTGCCGGGGGCGCCTGAGCGCGAGTGCGCCTCGCACACGCCCCGATGACTGCACATGTGGACCGCGCCCCATACGCGGGGGCCCGGTGGCAGTCGCGGTCCATTGATGACATCAACGCTGCCGGAGCGTGGCCCTCTCTGTTGCCGGCGCTGTCGCCGCCGTCTCTTGGTGGACAGGGGAGAACGTCGTGCGCCATGGTCCTGGTGCCGGGGCCCTGGACGCGAGGCCGGGTAGAGAGTGCGCCGGGCGGGCAAAGTGCCTCGTCAGAAAAATGCGTATGGGTGCCACGGGCGGGGTGCTGCTACCATATCGGGGCTGGGTAATTTCATTATTTTTTTACCGGCCCCGGCGTCGAGGGCGAGAACGGTCGAAAGCCTGGCGAGTCCGGCATACCTGACAATTGTGGCGGAAGCCCCCAAGACACAAAGACGCGCAGCCCCGACATCGGAAAGGGTTCATGTCCCGGGCTGGGTAGCTGATCGCTGGGGAACCGCGAAAAGCGCTCGGCTTCAATCGAGCTGGTCAGGACACTTCGCGGAAAGCTCTTCCCCACAGGACGCCCCACAGAGGCAAGCAGCGAGGGGATCCCACCGCGCGGCCTGCTGCATGGGAGAATCGGTGCGCACGGCCGGGTCGGCATCACTGCGTGCCCCACTCCTGGGGACCATCGAGAGGCGAGTGTCGACCGTTGAATGCTACAGGGGCCTCGTTGTCCGAGATGGGCTCTTTCATTTTTCGCGACACACGAGATGAGCCGCTCTTTCAGTCTGTCCTGCCAGCTGAGGCCGTCCCCCCCCCCCC